CGCCGCCCCAGCGCACTTGCGGGGTCGGGACGCGGCGTCGCCCCGGGGCGGTTTGGGGGGCCGGGCCCGGCCTGGCGGCGCCGCGGGGAGGTTTGGGGGGCTCGGCCTGGCGGAGCCACGGGAAGACCTGTCTCCAGGGCAGAGCGCTCCCCATGCCCCACTGGGCAGCGCACCTCCCTCTGCCAGGCGCGCTGCTGCAACTCCACAGGGTTCACTGTCGCCTCCAGCTTTGTCGACCGCCCTGGACATCGGCCTGAGCAACTGGAGCTTCCTCTACATCACCGTCTCCCTGTGAGTAGCGGCCCGTGCACTGCGGGGGCGTCTCCAGGGCTCCGCATGCCGGGCTGGGGTCCAGTCCTGCAGGTGCCAGCTGGGATGGCGGCAATGCAGGCTGGGGCCTGCTGCGCCGGGCGTGTGGAGAACAACCACGCGTCCTGGTTTTTGCAGTTACACAATGACCAAGTCTTCTGCCATCCTCTTCATCTTGTTCTTCTCGCTGATCTTCAAACTGGAGGAGCTGGTGAGGGCGCAGCAGCACCAGCCCCTTGGGGAGGAGGCTGGGCCTGAGCTGGTCCTGAGGGCCGGGGGACTAAGCGCAGCCTGGGGAAGGGGCTGGGAGGAGAGCAAGCCCCTGTAATGCTGCTTGTTGCCCGCAGAGGCTGGCGCTGGTGCTGGTGGTGTTACTCGTGGCCGGGGGGCTTTTCATGTTCACCTATGAGTCCACGCAGTTCAACACAGAGGGCTTCATGCTGGTGCTCGGTGCCTCCTTCCTGGGGGGCATTCGCTGGACTCTCACCCAGATGCTCATGCAGAAGGCCGAGCTGGGTATGCAGGAGATGGGAGGGGGTCGTCTCAGTCCTAGGGGGCGTGCTGGGACCCAGGAAGGGAGCAGGGAAGTAGCAGCCCCGTGCGGGGCGGGGGCGGGGACAGCGACAGCAGCTCAGCACAGGAGGGGTGGACGCAGCGGGCGTCTGTCACGCGTGTCACCGTCTCCTTCCTCAGGGCTGCAGAACCCCATCGACACCATGTTTCACCTGCAGCCGCTCATGTTCCTGGGGCTCTTCCCTCTTTTTATGGCAATCGAGGGTGAGTTGCTGGAGAGAGCAGGGGTTGGGGCTGCAGGAGCAAGCCAGGCAGACGCGGGAGTGCCCGGATTGCTCCTCTCCTGCCAGTGCAGGAACCGAGGGGGGGGCAGGGCCACGCTGGCTGCTGCCTCCCAGCACGGAAGAGCCCTGCCGCTCACCGTCCCTGCCACCCCGCGCTCAGGGCTGCCCATGGCTGTGTCGGAGAAGCTGTTCCGGTTCCACGACGGGTGGGTGCTGCTCGCGCTGCTTGGGAAGCTCTCCCTGGGGGGGCTCCTGGCCTTCGGGCTGGGCTTCTCCGAATTCCTGCTGGTCTCCAGGACCTCCAGCCTCACGCTGTCCATCGCTGGCATTTTCAAGGTTGGCTCCTGTGGTAATTCAGGGAGGTTGGGGCCTGACCAGCCAAAGTAAAGCGACTGTGCTATTGAGCTGTCAGAAACAGCTCTTGGCACCTTCCCTCCTGCCGTGCTGGGGCTGCCTGTGCCACCTTCCCGTCCCCAGAGCACTTGTGACTTCTGACCAGGAAAGTTCCCCAGTGCCTACATCGACCCCTTAACAGCCTCTGTTAATGCAGCATGGAGCCCAGGGCCAGAGCTTGGCAAAGCGCAGGAAAGGGTCAGAGGTAGCGAGAGGCTGGCAGTTGTCTTCAGGGGAATGGCCGATACCCCAACGCAGGGAGGTCAGCCGCGGTAGCTCCGGGTGCAGCCTGGCCCAGGCTCCCTTCTGCAGGGTCCTCTTGGGATGGACTCCATGGGCCCCACGCTGCTCACTCTGCTCTGCCACCTCCCCAATGCCTTGTTTCTGCAGGAAGTCTGCACCTTGCTGCTGGCCACCCATGTGCTGGGAGACCACCTGAGCCTCCTCAACTGGCTGGGCTTTGCCGTCTGCCTGTTGGGAATCTCCTTGCACATCACCCTCAAAGCCTTTGCTTCCAAAGGTAATGCTCCTCTTGCCCAGTCACTGCAGAAGCCTGCTCCTCCCTTCCCAGCACCTCTGTTAGGAGCCCAGACTGGGCTTGAAGCTTTCACGGAGGGCAGGACGGGCTAAGCAGGAGTGCCCGGGGGAGACTGCTCTGGTGCGGGACTGACCTGGTTGTCCGTGTGCAGGTGAAAAGGCCCAGAAGGAGGCCGGCTCCAGTCCTGACCTGGAGCTGTTGCTGCGGCACGGCGAGCCAGAGGAGGTGCCGGAGGAGGAGGATGTTGGCACCCAGGTGCAGCGCTGAGCAGACCTGGAGCCCACTGGTGGCCGCTGCATCTGACCATCGCGCTCAGCGGCAATTACCAGCGTGCAGGGGCCAGGAGTCCTGCACTGCCATCTCCCCTGGATCAGGCACACGTGGGGAGCCCCGAGCAGGGGCTGGGGGGGCCTGCTGCCAGCCGCGGCAGCCGGGATTCCTGCCAGCTGGGTGAGAGGGAAGGCTGCAGTGTGGCCCTGTACAGGGACTGAAGAGAAGCCCCTGCGCTGCTGGGGGAGGCAGGAATATTTCCCAGGGTGTAGGGCCACAGCAGGGGATCCTATGAGCTGTGTGGTGGGCCGAGGGAGCAGAGACTGTGACTGCAGAGCCATGGCTGGGGAGAGAGCGCTCCCAGCCAGCTCTGGTCCTGCCTCCCCAGGGGCAAGGCAGGTGGCTGTTGTGTGGGGGCTGTTTCCCCAGCGCCCTGTGGAGCTGAATCTCATGCCAGCTGGAGCACAGGGAGCAGGAGGACCCCTGCCTGCTTGTGCTGCAGGACCAGGCTGGGCCCAGGGGCCAGGAAAGACCTCAGTCTCTGGCTCGGTGGGGCTGGAGGCGTTAAGGGCTGGGGAGCTGGGGAAGCAACTTGCTATGCTGGGAAGAGCTCTGATGCCTTTTGGAAATAAATGGCTTCCAGCCCTCTCCTCTGCTTGCGTGAGCCTGTTGTGCGGAGCCGAGGTGCTGGTGCCTCCTGCCCTGCGCTGGCTGTGTCCCTGCTCATGCTGCTGCCTCCCACGAGACACCTGCAGCCCCTTCCAGTGCTGCCAGCATGGCTGTAAGCAGTTCCCCTGCACGTGCCTCGGCCGCGTCCACAGCCTTGTCTCCTCCCTAGGAGAACAGACCTGTGCTGGCGCTGACCACCGGTTGTGTGCCAGGAGGGGCCACTGCTCCCCCCCACAGGAGTCAGGCAGCAGCTCAGAGTCCAGCCGTCCTTGGTTGGGACACACTGCTGCTTGGCCCCCCAGGCCAGTGTGGGGGGATCTCTGGGCCCACCTGAGCCTTGCTCAGGCCACAGGGACGGGCTGGACGGGGACCAGCGCTTGCATGACACATGACGGCTGCCGTTCTCCTGGCAGAGGCCAGGCGGGCTGCAGCATTTCAGGACGGCGCAGGGAGGCTGAACACAGCTGAGGGACGAGCAAGAGCCGCAGTGCCTGTGCCCTGCGGTGCCTCCCAACGCCGCACGGTGGCTATTCTTGGGCGAGTTTCTCTCCCTCGGAGTCCCCGGCCCTGTGCAGCCTGCCCTGGGGAAGCACGTCCAGCAGCACGGTGCTGGGCTGAGCCCTGGGGCGGGTGATGGTTGCCAGTGAGAAGCCCTTCTGTCGGCCTGGCAGCCGGGGTGCTGAGCATGGAGGGGCTGGGGGGATGAGTGTCGTTGCTCAGAGCACACGGCAGGTGGTGCCTCTGTGCCATCTCCTAGAGCTGCAGCCGTGGAGCCGGAGGTGGCAGTGCAGGCCCTGCCGTGGCTCAAGTGGGGAGCCGTGGTGGAGCTGGCTCACGCCTGGGCTGTGGCCTCTGGCTCTCGGCTGCTCTTGAGAGCTGCCGGCGGGTATCCCACGGATCGGGCCTCGACCAGCAGTGCCCTGCCTCCTCTTGCTATTTCCTCACCCACTCCACTGCCCTGGGACCAGAGCCCTGGCTCGATGTTTGTTCCCTGCCCTCCTCGGCGGCACTCCGCCGCAGCTGCCCTTTGCCCTCCAGCCGCCCCATCACGCAGCAGCCTGGGCAGTGCCTTGAGGTTCCTCTAGCCGAACCCTCCCCGGAGGCAAGGCTGGCTGTGCCTAAACCTCCTGCACAGCCTGGTCCTGAGACCCTGCGACAGGGCCGGGCAAGGCAGGCGCCGGCACCCCGAGCTGCAGGGCCTAGCCGGCTCCAGGCAGACCGTGTCCCCATGCGCGGGAGGGGCTGGGATAATCTTGGGGCTATTGGCTGTGAAGAAAGACCTTGCTTAGCTGCGGGCCAGGGGCAGCCGGGAGCGAGGGCCTCGGGGAGGGCAGAGGGAGGCGTCGCTCGTGGGGAGCCGTGGGGCTTACTGCGCGGCTGGAGCGTGCAGTAGACACGGGCCCTGGCTGCAGGGCCTGGAGCAGGGCTGCGGGGGCCTGACCCCGCTGCAGTCTCCATCTCAGCCATTAACTGACCGCGGGGAGGGAGCGGCTGCTGCTGAACTGCTGTCATGCTTGGAGTTGC